AATCTAACGTTATTTTTCTCTTTCTGTTTTATTTTTAGCTCGACTATTCGCAGAATAATCGAGCTAATGCAGTCACCCATTTGTCGGCGTCGGCGTCGGCGTCGGCGTCGGCGTCCCTGTGGTTAAGTTTTTGTATGTAAGCTGGTATCTCCTTAACTACTGAAGGGAATGGATTGAAACTTCACACACTTGTTCTCTGTGATTATCTAAGATGATTGGCACAAGTCCCATAACTCTGATTTGCTTTTTTTCATAATTATGCCCCTTTTTCGACTTAGAAATTCTTGGTTAAGTTTTTGTATGTAAGCTGGTATCTCCTTAACTACTGAAGGGAATGGATTGAAACTTCACACACTTGTTCTCTGTGATTATCTAAGATGATTGCACAAGTCCCATAACTCTGATTTGCTTTTTTTTCATAATTATGCCCCTTTTTCAACTTAGAAATTCTTGGTTAAGTTTTTGTATGTGTAAGCTGGTATCTCCTTAACTACTGAAGGGAATGGATTGAAACTTCACACACTTGTTCTCTGTGATTATCTAAGATGATTAGCACAAGTCCCATAACTCTGATTTGCTTTTTTACATAATTGTGCCCCTTTTTCGACTTAGAAATTCTTGGTTAAGTTTTTGCGTGTAAGCTGGTATCTCCATAACTACTGAAGGAATGGATTGAAACTTCACACACTTGTTCTCTGTGATTATCTAAGATAATTGGCACAAGTCCCATAACTCTGATTTGCTTTTTTACATAATTATGCCCCTTTTTCGACTTAGAAATTCTTGGTTAAGTTTTTGCGTGTAAGCTGGTATCTCCATAACTACTGAAGGGAATTGATTGAAACTTCACACACTTGTTCTCTGTGATTATCTAAGATGATTGGCACAAGTCCCATAACTCTAATTTGCTTTTTAACATAATTATGCCCCTTTTTCGACTTAGAAATTCTTGGTTAAGTTTTTGCGTGTAAGCTGGTATCTCCATTACTACTAGAGGGAATGGATTGAAACTTCACACACTTGGTCTCTGTGATTATCTAAGATGATTGGTACAAGTCCCATTACTCTGATTTGCTTTTTTGCATAATTATGCCCCTTTTTCGACTCATGAATTCTTGGTTAAGTTTTTGTATGTAAGCTGGTATCTCCTTAACTACTGAAGGGAATGGATTGAAACTTCACACACTTGTTCTCTTTGATTATCTAAGATGATTAGCACAAGTCCCATAACTCTGATTTGCTTTTTTACATAATTGTGCCCCTTTTTCGACTTAGAAATTCTTGGTTAAGTTTTTGCGTGTAAGCTGGTATCTCCATAACTACTGAAGGGAATGGATTGAAACTTCACACACTTGTTCTCTGTGATTATCTAAGATAATTGGCACAAGTCCCATAACTCTGATTTGCTTTTTTACATAATTATGCCCCTTTTTCGACTTAGAAATTCTTGGTTAAGTTTTTGCGTGTAAGCTGGTATCTCCATAACTACTGAAGGGAATTGAATGAAACTTCACACACTTGTTCTCTGTGATTATCTAAGATGATTGGCACAAGTCCCATAACTTTAATTTGCTTTTTAACATAATTATGCCCCTTTTTCGACTTAGAAATTCTTGGTTAAGTTTTTGCGTGTAAGCTGGTATCTCCATTACTACTAGAGGGAATGGATTGAAACTTCACACACTTGGTCTCTGTGATTATCTAAGATGATTGGTACAAGTCCCATTACTCTGATTTGCTTTTTTGCATAATTATGCCCCTTTTTCGACTCATGAATTCTTGGTTAAGTTTTTGCATGTAAGCTTATATCTCCATAACTACTGAAGGGAATGTATTGAAACTTGAAGAGTTTGTACCTTTTCGGACAATTTTATGTATTCATATAGGTAAGCATTATTATACTCAATGAAACACCCTTGTGACAAATTTTCGAATAGTCGAGCGTTACTGTCCTCCGACAGTTCTTGTTAACTTTTGGTGCCTACGTTCGATATAGTTTATCAAAAAATTATCGAAAGTATACAAAATAACGAAAAATAAATTAAAAAGCTAAAAAATATAAGATATCAAAATATCGTCTCGGTAGAAAATAATCTCATAATTTTTAAAATTATTTCTAAATATTCATATTATTTATTTATTTATTCATAAACATTGTTAAATAAATGAGAGAAAACTTATCTGATAGATAAAAGCAGTAAATAAAACAGTTTTTGAAAAAATATAGTACATCAGAAATTCTGATATATCGGGACCTTGGTGGCAGAGATCTACGCCGAAGAATTAAGGGGAGATCACTGTGTGGAGATTGAAAATAATGCTGCAGTAATGTTTGTTGCATACATACAGTTGTTACTAGAATTCTTAAAAGATAAGCACAGAAGTATAAGGGAGGTCACTCCTACAATATGATGCATAAATGGAACCAGATTGTCTCCCTTTCGTTTTAGCCTTAGTTCAATTAGTAAAACGTTCTTATTTTTTTAAAATTTTTTTTTGATACAGTAACTTTGTTGAAGTAACATAGCTTTAACTAATAATATAAACCAGTATTAGAATACACCGGCTTATGTAGGTGGTTGAAATGATAATTTTAAAGAATAAGTTTAAACTAATATCCAAATGTATATGCATATTTCACAGGTTTAATATCCTCTTACTGACCTAACTGGAGTTGATGTGTACAGATATTGGTAGACATACTTAATTTTACATAGTGTAATATGAATTGATTATGTATGTTTATATATTACCATGCTCTTCTCAAATATTGTAACCGCCGTCATCATGTTAATGGCGACAAACATGTAATGTTCATATGCTGAATAAAGAATTGAATTGAATTGAATATACTTATCTTAATATAATATAACACATTATTTCATTTTCACATTTTTTTAATTCAAATGCATATCAAATTTCATCAATAAAACATGTGTGTAATATATAAAGAAAGAACAATTTTATTACAATATGAATGAGATTATACAAACAATTTACAAACTGTTAAAACATTGAGTCGAATTTTAATAACTGTGCCACAATTATTTATGACCAATAATAGCAATTAAAAATATTTCATTAATTATATCAATTATACATTTTTAAACTAGGATATCTGGCAGTAATAAAGAATATTCCTATTAAATAAATATGTACATATATGAAAAAAAAATAAAAATTAATAAATCATTCAAATGAAAAAACATTATTTCAAAGGTAGTTCATGTCAAATACATTTCCTTAAACTCTGAAAAATTTAAGGTGGTGGGGTTTTGTCCACTCTATAAAACAGGAGGTGTGGGGTTTTGTCCACTCTGTAAAATTTAGGTGTGGGGTTTTGTCCACTCTATAAAATTTTGAGGTGTGGGGTTTTGTCCTACATTTGTATGTTTCAGATAGAGAAATAATGGACAAAATCGTATCCCCTAAGTCAATAAATAAATCACTTTATAATATAAAACCATAATAATGATATATTTTCCTGTATGTGAAAAAATGCTCTATGCTGATTTTATCAACAACAGTAAATTTCAAGATTTAAACTGGAAAGCAGTTGGCATCTGGTTTTTACTTTGATGAAAAAAAAATCAATTTATTTATTATTATGTTCCTTTCTGATGGGTGACACCTTTTGTAACATTAAATTTTGACATATGGCTAATTTCTGGAAAAATATGCAAATATTGACTTTTGACCTGAGGTGTCATGGACCTTTTCACAAATATTGTGACAAACAATTACCTTAAAAAGTTAAACAATTAGCTTGGCACACTCTAGGCTTGTAAAAATAATTTCATAGGTTTAAATCTTTTGTTTTTCTCACATATGAGTGGATTTTAAAGAAAAAACACCTCAGCTTTAAAATTGACATGGTTTTAATGTGTGTTTCAATGTTTTTATCAGTTGATAGAAATTACTCTGTATAAGATTATCTAAGGGCAGTAATTACTCTAGGACACTTGGCTTCAACTCCAGGTGTATATCAATATGCAAGATGATGTAAAATAATTACCTGTCACTTGCTCTTCAAGAACAATAAATATAAAAATAGCATAATTAAAGAAATAAATTATAGATTGAAGCATTAATTCAATTATTATTGCAATTATCAAAGTTGGACAATGAAATAATTTTTGGATAGTGGTAAAGGAAAGGAAATTGTGTGATTTATTGGATATATGTGTAAGATTAAAGAAAATTAATATGGAATGTAGATCTTTATTTTGTGATTCTGATGAATCTGGATCTAGTTGTAGATGTGAGGTAATACCTGTTTTATTTTGTCAATATTGAATAAAATATTTCATCATATCAATTGTTTCGAGTTATCTTGTAAAGATATATCCTTTCTAGTCTCACAGATATTCTAGATATTTCTAACTCAAAAATAATATCATATTTCCAACTCAAAAATAATATCATATTTCCAACTCAAAAATAATATCATATTTCCAACTCAAAAATAAAAAAAGTTAAAGCATATAAATGTAAATTCTTTTTAGTTCTGTAAACATTATTGAACAACAGCTGTAATTTTTTAGTGAATTTTCTTTTTTTTTAATGTTTATTTTCCAGCATATTTTATAAAGGAGGTTTTATATTTTTTCACTGACAGTGTTAGTTTATTGTGTGACTGTGTGTGTGTGTATTTGAGTTTATTACGTTGCCATTATAGGCTAGTCCTCTAGAAGAGTATTAGACATTTTATACTTTGGAGGATAGTGCAAGATTCCAGAAGGTTCTCCTGGTGATTTAACATTCCAATTGAAGATTCATACACAGAAACTCTATTTAAAGTCTCATCCAAAAGACAGATTAGTAATTTTAGTTGGCTAGCCCGGGAATCGAACCCACAATGTTGAGATTACAAGTCTCGCGCTTTAACCATTTGAGCTATGTGGAGTGGCATTTGCCATTACTATCCTTAATGCGTCTTATTTGTATAGATTATATTTACATTATATTTATATTGTATGCCATATTTCTGTATTAAACAGGATGGAAGAACTGCCTTACATTATGCTGCACTAAATGGTTTCACAGATGTTACAAAGTTTCTGCTGGAGAAAGGATGTGAAATCAATGTTCAAGATGCTGTAAGTTAAAATTGTTTTAGCTTAACTGTTCGACGAATGAGAGCTTCTTAGTCCACAGAGCGTCGGCGTAGCCATTTAATTTTATGTTAAATTTTGCATACCACCTAAATTATTTTCAAAGACATTGCTTTGAAACTTTGAAGATTTGTTCACCATCATGTCCCAAACCTGTATACAGGAGGAGGTAATTATATCAAGCATTTTGACAGAATTATGCCCCTTTTTCCACTTAGAATCTATGTTAAAGTTTGCATATCACCTCAAATATTTTTAAAGTCCATTGACGTTGTAGTCTATATAACTTTGCAGATTTGCTCACCATCATGCCTCCAACCTGCACACAGGAGGTCACTGTATCAAGTTTTTTTTTACAATATGCCCAATTACTATTAAGCACTGAGAATAGTCAAGCATGCTGTCCTACTGACAGCTCTTGTTTGTGTAGTGTTTTAATAATTATCTAGGACATAGAGTAAATATTTTAGCATGTAAATAATTATCAGATTATATAACATAAAGATGATATAACTTACCATTACTTTTTCCACATGATATGTTACATAATAATTTACTTCACCACCTCTAGAAATACCCGAGATAACTTTTCACATATAAAAACTTGTTATTTTATGGACTTTCATACATTATGTTTTACATTGTTGTAGAGTGGTTATACAGCTCTACATCGTGCAGCATCTCAAGGTCATATAGAGGTCATTACAGCTCTTGTTGAGAGGGGATGTGATGTCAACACACAAGATGAGGTATATATATTTCTCTCTCATTCATTTGAAACTGCCAAATTTTAATTTTATTGGCTATCATAAAAAGTATTACAGTGTTGGCCACATTGTAGAGACAATCTCATTAGCTAAAATAACATGATATTTTCCAAATTGAGTTATACCAATTGCTGTTTTTAAAAAAAAGCTTGCACTTGGAAATGTACAATGTAAGTTAAATTTAACTTGAAATGTTATGTCATCAATATGTAAAGCTGGCTATATTGTTCACTGATTTGCAGTTAATTCTGACTATTATTTTTTGTATTGCAATGGAAAATAGGTTTAACAGGGCATAGTGATTAGCCTGTTAGACTCAGTAGTAAAGACTGTCCATGGTTACGGGCAAGTCATTGTTTCCTTGAGTACTTAGAGAACTGATTGATTCTAGGAATATATTAGAGAGTGTATCTATAAGCATAAACAAACTTAAATCCTGTATAAACTATGGAATGCAGGTTTGCTTAGTAAACATTTTTGTGGTTGTTTGAAACAGTCTAAGAATGGACTGAAAGAAATGGTGATGGAAAAAATTCATTAAGGATATTTCACTATATTATGATGTTTATTTCAGCATGGTAATGCAGCTATACATGAAGCTGCCTGGAATGGTTTCAGTAAGACATTAGAACTGCTAGTCAAATTTAATGTCAATGTCTCCATAGTTAACAAGGTAAGTTTTTACAGAAAAAACATTCTTATAATTCATTATCAAGTTTCATGTTTTTAAGAAGACATGTACTAGAATATATAAATTGCAGAATAGTACTATAAGAAATTAATTTATAGAAAGTACATAAAAATTCCCTATCCTACAGGGTTGATGTACCTATTTTTCCCTGCATTCACAAGGTTGCACGTATACAGGTGCATTGACACTATTTTTGCATTAAAATATACCTCTTATTTAGTAATATCTCCTATTTAGCTCACCTGTCACAAAGTGACATGGTGAGCTTTTGTGATCACTTTTCGTCTGGCATCCGGCCATCGTCTGTCCATACAAACCCAGAGGTACTTGTGTGACTTGAAGAACAATGGGTAACAGTAAATTCTCTTTGATCCTATTCATTCCGTTTTTACTTGTGTGTCTTTTTTTAAGCCTTGTGTGACTAAAAATGGCCAAAAAGATCATAGGAAAAGTCACATAAGAACGTCCATCTGTTTACTTTAAACAACATCTCCTCATAAACCTCTTAGCCAATTTCACCGAAACTTCACAGGAATGGTGGTCACCTTTAAAAATTGTTCAAAAAATTTAATTTCATGCAGAACTCTGGTTGCCATGGCAACTGAAAGAAAAAACTTAAAATATCTTCTTTTAAAAAACCCAAAGAGGTAGAGCTTAGATACTGGCATGAAACATTTTCTAGTGAGTGTCTATCAAGTTTGTTCAAATAAAAGCCCTGGGGTCAAATTGGCCCCGTCACAGGGGGTCATTGCTTTTCCTTACATGTATATAGTAAAAACTTTAAAAAATCTTCTTTTATAAAACAGAAAAAGCTAGAGCTTAAATATTGGGCATGAAACATTATCTGATGAGTGTCTACCAAGTTTGTTCAAATAAAAGCTCTGGGGTCAAAATTGGCCCCGCTCTGGGGTTGATTTTCCTTATATGTATATAGTAAAAACTTCTTTCAAAAAATCCAAAGAGTTAGAGCTTAGATATTAAGCATGAAATATCTTCTGATAAGTGTCTACCAAGTTTATTCAAATAAAAGCCATTGGATCAAAATTGGCCCCTCCTAGGGGTCTGATTTTCCTTATATGTCTATAGTAAAAACTTAAAAAATCTTCTTTAAATACCTCAAAGATCTAGAGCTTAGATATTTATCATGAAATATCTTCTAATTGGTATCTACCTGGTTGCTTAAAAAAAGCCCCTGGGTTAAAATTATCCCCGTCCCAAGAGCCTATATACAGGTGAGCGATTTCAGGGCCATCATGGCCCTCTTGTTATATATAAGAAACAGTTATGATGTAATTGTGACAGTTATGACTGTTTTGGTAAGTTACCAGGGTCATCAGTGCAGTTATTACAAATTGTGCAACAGCCTTGCATGCCCGCATGACTTTATTTTTCTGTACATGGTTTCTTCTCTATTATTGTATTCCTGCATGTGCAGAATTTATGGAAGAAATATTCATAAAACTTGCTTGTATTGATTATACCAAAAAAATTCATTCATAATTTGAGTATATGGAAAAAAAGTCACAAAAATTAAATAAAAAGGATGCAGTATAATCTAGTATACCTGTAAAATAATTTCATGAAATATATTAAGTTGTTATAAATTGGTATTTTTGTGTATCATAATCATAATATATGAAATATCTATAAAAAAATTTTGATTACAGGCTGGTTTCACTGCATTACATCTATCAGCACAGAATGGGCACAACGAGAGTTCTAGAGTTTTACTTTATGCAGGCTGTAACAGTGATATAAAAAACAATGTAAGTACCAGAGTCCTGTAGATTATGAAAATTGTTTGAGCTTATGTTTCCAAAGAATGCTGTAGCTAAAGTCATAAGATGTTAATCAGATTATGGAGGGCTTTTTTGCAGTGTTTGATATTACATATTGTAATGTACTAAAATAACATGAAAATTTATTGTTTTCCATGAAAATAAGATATGATATTGTTTGTTTATTATACAGCTTGGTGAAATAACACTAGATTTTTTATTATACAGTATGGTGATACAACACTACACACAGCTGCAAGGTACGGCCATGCTGGCGTGACAAGGATCCTTATAAGTGCTCGAGTAAAAATTAATGAACAAAATAAGGTAAGTTACTTATATCTCAGGAAATTTTGCAATATGTAAGAGATTGCATTGTAATCTATGGAATAACAGGACATTTAGAACTTTAGTATTTACCATTTCTTGTTCTTGATAAGCTTGACTTTTTATTTTGTTTGAAAGAGTATCTGACATTTAGCATTACTAACAAAGGTTGATTGTTGATTGTATTTCATTAATAACATTGTCAAAAATATGAAATGTTGCTTTTTGTGAAAGAAATTTACAACATATTTAAGAAATAATATATCCCAAACTGTGATTTTATTGCTCAATAACATCACTGTTTGGAGTTCGATGCGAGGAATTATATCACGAGGGCGTAGCCCGAGTCATACAATGATGCGCATCCGAACGACAAACAGTGATGTTATCCAGCGATAAAATCACCGATTTGGATATATCATTTTGATTCTAACACAACATAAACAAATAAATGCTGCCGTACCTGCTATTAAGCAAAATTGCACCTAATTTGTTTCTGTACTTAATGTCAGCGCGTCGGATTTTATAGTGGTTACGTCACATGTATAATGATTACGTCACATGTCTAAATATTGAACGTCAAACAGTGACTCTATTGCATAATAACACACACTTTCGGTTCTTCTATGTTCAATAGGGAAAAATGCAGGTCGTGTTAGAATTGACAATATATGCCAAGTTAGTTTTTGTGAGACAAAAACAAGATAATATTTTTAAAACATTTATTCAGAATGGGGACACAGCTTTACACATTGCAGCTGCATTAAAAAGAAGGAAGATTGCCAAGCTACTTGTGGAGTCCGGATCGGATGTCTCTATTAGAAATAAGGTAAGTTACATATGTTGTTTGCTTAAGAAATAATTATGTATATCCCAAACAGTGATTTTATCACTGTTTGCAGTTCGGATGAGAGGAATTATATCATGAGGGCGTAAACCGAGTGATATAATGATGCCCATTCGAACGACAAACAGTGTTTTTATCAAGCGATAAAATCACCGATTTGGATATATTATTTCGATACTAACACAACATCAATATACATGTGTATAATTATACTGCCGTACCTGATATTAAGCCAAATTGCATCTGATTTGTTTCCGTACTTATTTTCAGCACGTCAGATATTTTTTAGTGGTTATGTCACATGTATAATGATTATGTTACATGATTACGTCACTTATCTTAATATAGAAAGTCAACAGTGATTTTATTGCATAATAACACACACTTTCGGTTCTTCCATATTCAATAGGGAAAAATGCGGGTCATGTTAGAATTGTAGTTTCAATGTGTTTATGTGTTTGTGACTTATGATTAATATGTTAAAAAAAACAACCTCTGTAAAAGGAAAGAGTATCTGTTGTAAGATTATTATGTTTTATTTGATTGTAAGGTGAAGATTTAAGAGCAGGGAGAAAGCTATTGCTTCCAATTGCTTAGCTTTATGTTTGGAGAAAATATTATGGGATTTATCAATAATATAATGACACTTAAGTTATCTTTCTACTTGACAGAAATTTGAAATGATACAAAACCAATAAATCATTAAATTCATAAAATGTCAATATTGATATGAAATAAAGCTATGGTAAGTTTTTTTGTATGGCATGAATTTGAAGTTACATTAAATGAATAAAATAATAAAAATCAAATACAAAAGAGTGTTAATTCAATAATCTTCTGTTAAATTTCTTTAAAATTTGCAAAAGAAAAAATAGTTTCATAGTGTACTACTTTGAGTGATTAATTGAATAAGTCAATCAATATTCAGTGTATTGATTTGACAATTTTATTATACATTGTATTCATCAGGGATTGTTTTGATTCATATTCCAGCAAAATGAGACTGCAGCTGATGTTGCTAGAAGAAAGGATCACAGGGAAATTATAGTAATCATCCAAGCTTATTCTAGGGTAAGTATAAACTTATCTTAATTAAGGCAGTAACTATCATTTCTTTATACCTTTAAAATAAGAGATAATGATTAACCGTAAGTTTTCATTATTAAGATTATCTTAACAATCTGTAAAATGTCACCTTTTTTATATTAATTATTTGTAAATGTGGAAAACCCATAAATATCATTATTGTTTATGAAAGAATAATAAAATTGCAGCCGGTAAAGTCAGCAGTGAAGGAGGTTAATTTTAAAGCAGATGTTCATCACATGGAGGGTCCAGTTGTTGTACCAGATATGGACATACCAGAAAAAATCGACACCAAAGCTGATCGAGGCAAACGCTTTCTCTTCTTTAAGAAAAAGAAACAAAAAGTAGGAAAAAACTTTGAAGTTAATTTATAATGTTATAGAAATGATGCAGTGATTTTCTCTTTTAAAGATTGCTTTGTTTAACCTTAAAATAAATTTTAAGCGTAAAACTATTCAAGAAATGATTACTAGTGATAGTATGAAATAAAACTAAATTACCAATAAAAACTAAAATATAACCTAAATTCTTTCACATTGCCGTCAAATATTGCTTATGACTTGGTTTCCAAAAAATTAGGTTTTGTAAATTATAGTTTACAGGAAGAACTTTTCAATAAATTAACAAATTTTATCTTTTGTTTAAAAATTAATTGTTATTTTAATGTTTTTTGTTGATATTGAAGGAAAAAACTCCACCAAATCGTGGAGTGATACCACAGCGTAATGTACCAGGGCACAGATGTAATGTTCAAACTACACCAGTACAAGGATTCTTCAGTAAATATGTACCTAGAGAAGGTGTCCAGTATTACAGGGATTTAGCTGGAAATGTTAAACAGGTAATACAATATAAGATTTATAATCTGTAAGTCTCTAACCAGAATTTATAATTTATAAAAAAGTAGTTTATTAGCTTTTTTAGCTCATCTATTTCAAAGAAAATGTCAAGCTATTATGATGGCTGCATAGACGTTGTTGCCATTGTGTAAAAACTTGTTATTGATAGTGATTGCTCTTGTATTTAGATCACTCTACATGTCATGATTTCATTACAGGGACCTGTTGGCTACACTCCAACCTGTAACTGCTTACCAGCTATACATCGCTTAGAAAAACAAGTCCACGATACACAAGATCATGTGTATGGTCAACTACAGTCCACAAATCGGGTCATGCAGGAACAGATAAATCAGGTTGATCACAGGTCAACAATGCGTCTGCAAGCACTTGAGAAATACACTCAGGATCGTTTTGTTGAGGAGGAAAATTTGTGCCGTCAAAGAATAAATGAACAGTTCAATGAACATGACAGTTACTATAAACAACAAGATGGTCATATGAAATCACAAATTCAAAATTGGTTAGAACAGAGATTAGAAGGCTATGGACACTGTTTACACCATCATCATGATGACTCAGCACTTCCTAATGAAAACATTTTTTCAGAAGTTCATGAAACTGCTAATGGACGTTTGTTTAAATCTCGCTCTGATGAGACATTATCCCAGTCAGATAACCATAGTGGAAAGTTTCGTAAACGTGAGTTTTATGAATCAAGACAACAAGCTATGCAACAAATTCGTGCTTGGCAGGTACCAAGCTATAGTAAAGATAGAAGTAGAGTGAAAGTGTTAGAAAAGCAAAGAAATAACCAAGAACAAACAAGAAGATTTCAAAGTAGACAAGAATTGAATAAAGAAATAGAACAAAGACAATATCCTGTTGAACCAAAAATTGAAATCAGAACTAGACCTCAGTCACAGAGTGCTGAAAGAAATAACAATAAAGCAGAAGACAATACATATATGACTATGACAGGACCTCAAAGTTATGGTGCTATTCCAAAACAGTCTGCCCTTCCCCAGCCTCAAGTGTATCCAAATACAAGAAAGGTGTCGGGGTCACGTGGACCTATGGGTCACAGTACACCAAAGTCGCGGGAATCTAGTCCTTACACCTCCCACAGTGGAATAGTTCGTAGTCAGACTGATGGAGTTATAAATAAAAGTTTATCCTTAACATTGCAACAGACATTTGAGAGGAAGGATGTTTCTAAAGACTTGAAAAAACAAATGTCAGTAAGTGATAAAAATCTCAGTGATAGATCTTATATGTTTCCTAATCAACAACAATCATCTTCATACAATTTGCATAAACCTGAAAGTAATTCAGTCAGTGTTAACTCTCCATATAGAAACTCTACCAGCAGTGATAACTTTGTTTCTAGTGTTCAAAAACCAACATTTTCCACTTTTGGCTATGAAGATGACAGAGAAAACCAAAAATTTGCCACACTTAGTTCAGAACAAAAGACTGTTGATCAGACTGATCAGTGTGAAGTGACAAGTTCTAGTACGCCAAGGGCAAACTCTTCAAATACTGCTGGAAGTGATGATAAAGTTATTAATACACATTTATCGCCAGATTTGTTTTCCCGCCAAAACTCTCAAGGTGCGTATGGTTTCAGTGAGAGAAATAATGATAATTTGTATGTAGAAATGAGACATATGAATCCAAGGCTACATCAGCATGCTCGTTCTTCTGAAGGATTACTAGAAACTGACATTGATCATATAAATGTAAATGGCAGTGAGGAAAGAACACTTGAGTTACAAGACTCTTTTTATACTCCAACCACAACTAGATCATCATCAGCAACCAGAGACCTACAAACAAGCATTTCACAAAGTCCAAATTCAAAGTTGGTTTCACAGCAACAATCTAGGATATCATCACCACGTCAGCAGCCTTCATTTTCTTATAGCTCGCCTCATCCTTCATACGGAAGTTCACCTTACACAGTACAAAGTGAAACTGTGCGTTCATTGTCGGGACCACCAACTTTACCAAAACCAAGCGTTCAGTCATCTTTATACCCATATTCCACTGCAAGAGAAGTGATGCGTAATACTGACATAAGATATAATGGAAGTACAAATGGTAATAATAAGACTGGGATTGTAAATGGAAATGTTTCAGAAAGTGCTTACTCTACAGTAAAGGATGTTCAGTTACAAAACAATGGCAATCATAACATACCAGTTGTAGCAGACATACAAAATCCATCGGATATTTATTACAGAAATCCTGGTATGAATAATCCAAACAGTAATCAGAAACAAACTCATATGGAACCAAGGTCAAAAACTGCATATCAAACATATCTAACAGAAAATCCAAATTTTTCAAGTGAAAATTTATATCGTGAACACTCTCCAAACATTTGTAACAACAGTAAAGAGGACTCCAGTAGTAACCCAGATTCTGGATATAGCAGTAAGATATATGGAAATCGTGCAAATTCAGTTACTCCTGCTAGTTTAGGTAGTACACCATCATCATCATTCAGTACTGATCGTGGTTTACATAGTAACACAAACTCTCCACATAGCCAGTATTCTAATGCAGATTATGAATGTTTACCGAACAGACAATATGAAGATGAGGTCCAAACACATGTACAGAGTTGGTATCAGCGCAAAATTCAGGAAACCACACAAAAGGTTTATGATAATTGGAGATCTGAAAGGTCACCTGGAAAGGTCACTCAACAGCAGCAAAATGGCGGACACAGACTTCCTGTGAGGTATTATGGAAACAGTGACTATGCAAAAATTGACTATAGTGCTGTAAATGGAAGACATTCAAATGTAGGGCAAACACAAAGTTACACTCCATCTGGGCAGAATAATCACATGGTTTCTACTTTTGTTATGCATGGTAGTGATGTGTAATCTTGTATTTAATATTCAAATGTTTTGTTTCATTTATACATATATTGTTCTTATTATGAAGACAAGAATAATCAGCAAAGTTAAATAAAAATGTTTTCAGAAATATCATTTGTATACATCACATTGAAAAAAAAGTACCAGTATGAAAATATTGCCAATTTGTAGCCATTTTATGTATCTTTTTAACTTTTCACATTTTTCAAAATTCATAATGTGCTATACAATTGTAGAATATAAATAATTATGTGATTAAATATTACATATACTTTGTTATGTAAAGATGAAAAGTAAAAATGGCAATTCTTTCCTGTATATTTTCTCTTATTTTTGTATATAACTGTTTTTGTATAAAGATGTTGAATATTCAATAAGTTATTTTTTGATACTGTATATTTTATAAATTAAACAAAGGTAAACTGAACTTACTTTTTGTTTTTTCTTGAAACATGGTTAAACAGAACAGGTAAAAGCTACAGTGTATACATTGCACTGTCGGTTAAATGTTTGTTTATATGAGAAACCACAAATCTTTCTGGAAATTACAACTTCTGGAGCTTAGATGATTGGAATTTAGCATCACCTTGTGGTCTTATATAAATCATTTCCTCAATGTATCCACTTTGTCTTGTTTCCATTCCATTCCACTTAGTGTTAATTTCATGTGAAAGAAATTAAAAAAATCCTTCAATAAATTGCAACCCACCTTAACAAGCCATTGCAGTGCTGATGAGGGTGGGCACATGAGCCAGGTTATTACATCTTTTCTTGCATTATACAATTAATAAGATGGTTTTGTTATAGCGATAAAATTGCATGGGATATTTCCATCATATGGTGGCATTAGGGGTGAATTTTACTGATGTCCCTGCAGCACTAGATGTTGACCTGGAAATTATTGTTGTTTTTTTTATACAATTCTTACTCAAGGAAACAACAATTTGCCCCTGATGGTGTTTGAACCTGGTCTGACATGTTAACCAGTCGGCCACCCTGCTTTTTGTTGATATATATTAAGAATCAGCATTTCAGTTACTATTGAAATAGTAAATAATAATTAAAGTGCTGAATTGTGTATGTGTGTCATACAAATATGACCATGAGAAATGTTTGCAAACATTGAATATAGCTTGATATCTGCACCAGCCAAATAACAAAATAAGGCTTGATCAGAATGGTAGGTGAAAAACTTCAAATTAAATTACAAATTCCTTCATTGGTTATAGCAAAGAACTATTACCTGCATCTCCCAGACATATGCCAATTTTAAGTTTTTTTTATGTTTCAAAAAAGAAGTCGAGCTGCTGTGTTGTGCTGGTCGGGGACCATCAACCGGATACTTTTTGAACCTTTTTTCATATAGATTTCATAATTTTAAAGCTACAGATCTGAAAATTTGACACAATACATCAAGGTTCTTCTTCTATCTAACAAACTACTTTGTTTATTTCTGATTATGTTGACACTTATATCTGAGGCCTGTCGATGAGGGTATCAAAATTACCTAAATTGTCCACACTACAGTACAATGTGTCCGGATAGATATGTAAATGATGTTGATTTAATCCAAATTATAGTTGAATTTTTTTATTTTTAACATGATATACAATACACTCAGAGGCACTTATATAATAACCCCGACACTGACATTTTTCTGTATAAATAGGTTATTTGTGAATGGATTTTGTTCAAATTTGGACTGTATAAAATTCAACATATCATACTTACTACTTGGAATTATATTTACAATTCATCGATAAGAATATAGAAAAAATAGCAAAACAAATAGGCTACTGTAAAATGAAAAATCACAGAAAAATCCTCCTAATTGGCTATAACAAAGTAAACACCTCTGCCTCACAGTTCTCTATTCCTAAATAAGGGCTTGCTCATGTTCCCGCAAATTGTGAGGGGCTTTTGGCCGCTTTCTCACACGCCTGTTCAATTCAGCCGACAAGTGTGATGTTTAGATCTGGTGACTTGGAATACAGGACTTGCTGGAACTCGAGGAAGCCCTTATTCCGGAATGGAGAAATATTCCCCAAGCCTTCACTACGTCATAGTTTACACTTTATTATAGTCATGGAATGACACAGAAAGTATTAGAACTGGTTATCATACAGAATCAGTTGGATTTAGATACTTTTCATTGTCTTACGATATTTACAGTCATTTTGTGATTTTACATTTTGCAGTAACATATTTGTTTTGTTATTTTCTCTATTTTCTTGTAAATGAATTGGAAATAAAATTCTAGGAAATAAGTACGATATGTTGAATTTTGTATGTTAAAAAACTGAACGAAATCCGTTTACAAATAACCAAGTTATACCAAAAAATGTAAGTGTCTGGTTATAAGTGCCTCTGATTGTATTTCAGCAGCAAATGCTGAAGTTTTGGATATTCTATTGTTAATTCTGTAAATGAAAGTGGTCAGGTTTGCACTTTTGACTTCAAAATTTTCGATGTCAATGTTTTTGAAATAGACATTAAAATATTAACGTTTATGAAAGTTGAAATAAATTTAATTACTTAATGATAGAAAAACATTCATTTATTGTTTATAAAAATGCAAATGATTGACAACCACAAAACAAAGAAAAAAACTATATCAGGCATTTTCAGGGCCGTCCGGGTTTGATGGTTGTCCGGTTTTGGTGGTCCCCGACCATTAGTGCAAAAACTTTAATGTTGCCCAAAACTCAGATTTAAAGTATCAATATGAAACTTGGAATGCTTGCTTATCATGACAAGGTGCAGTTGTTAGACAAGGGGCATAATTCTGAAAGTTATACTTTTTAGTTATGCCCATTTTTCAGTTAAAAATGGATATTTTGAATCTACATAAAGTAAGTGACTCCCAGGGCAGGGCCATTATTTTCCTAAGCATCATGCTAATATAACTTTAGTAGAAATTTACAAATTGATGCTACATGACAAATATATCTAAGCTCTGGACTTTCTGTAGTATCAGACAATATGTGTCAGATGTGTTTTTCCTTTATGAGTCTATATGAATCATGTGACCCCTGGAGCAGGGCTAATAATAAACTAATTTGATCCCAAACTTGTTATAACTAGTAGTGTTCATGAAAATAAAAAGTAGTTTACTTCAAATTATTTAGACAAGAATGGGTTGAACCTGGTGATGCTTCCCGAGAAGGTTTTGGACACAGGAAAGTAAAAAAAAATGAACAATGGGCAAAAACTCCAAAATTAGGCAAGGCAGAGTTATGGTTCTTTAACAATGCACTTCTATCTATCAATCTATAAAGTTAAGTGATGATATCTCTTATAGTTTCAAAGTTATGTCCCAGGTAAAATTCAAAGTGTAACAAGTGCAACGCTATATGCCTCCCACTTTGTGGGGGGGCATAAAAATGAACAAAGTTCATTAATTCAAAAATAATGCAAGGCAGAGATATAGGGAAATATCTCCAAAATTAGACAAGGCTGTGTTTAGGTTCTTTAGCATTGCAGTTCTATCAAATGAGATCTATCTACCTACAACGTTGATATCTGTAATAGTTTTAGAGTTATATCCCAGACAAAAGTCAAAAAGTAAAAATAAACAAAGGGCAATAACTTCAAAATAGCCGCAGGCTTTCTACTGCCTCTACCAAAAAAACTAGGGAAAAAGTAGGGCATTTTTTTACCAAAAAGTAGGGCAAAGTAGGGATTTCTGATGTTAAAAACTAGGGATAAAGTAGGAATTTCTTACCGTTTTAGTTAAGAATAAGCAAAACATACCATCACCAAGACCACATCAGGCTGTGTGTATCTTCAGATCAGTCCATGCTTGAAAGACATGCACCTCATAGGCAGAATGTTGCTGAATGTTTTGCCAAGGTGTGTGCATGAGCAGAGAGAGCTGCATCAGTACTAAGGCTGCAGTACTTAAAGTACCAGTTCCAGTACTTGCCAAGTTTTGCAGTACCATTTCCAGTACTAATACTTGATTTTAGCTTGGTACTGCAGTACCAGTACTTTTTTGGGGGAAGTAATTAAGTACCAGTACTAATACTTTTATATATTCATCAAAGTTTGAATAAATACACAGTGTCATTCAAAATAATTGCAAACATTATTCAACAAAGAAATAAAATCATTTACTTTAAAGTTGACATTACATTTTTACAACTTAAATGAACGATAATACTTTTTACAAACAATAATCATCATATATTTATGTCATATGTTATTGGTTTGTAACCGCAGTCAACTGTAGTACAATGCAATAATCTTACATTTTAAACCCACCAGTCTTTTTGTTGCCTTTTACACCTTCACACCTCTGTTCAATTTATACCAAAGTAAATAACTTTTTTATGGTGCTAACAATATCACTTGAAATATGATTATTTAGAATAGAAGTAATTTATTAGTGTTTATTTTGCTCTTTTTTTACTAGTAAATACAAAGTAATAAGATTGCAATAAGGATATTTTACCAGTAAAGAGTAATATTGACTCTGTTTATCTCAATTTAATTTTACTTCAAGTCTTTGGTGCTTTTTTTATGATGAACACTATGTTAACATTTGAAGGAATATTGCAGCAAATTATTTATAGATTTGATAACTTACTTTTTCACAAAAATAAAATAATATGTGGAATTTACAGCTTTACTTTATGAGTAAAAATAATGACATGTTTATCAAAACCAAAAATACTGCCTAGTAATGCAGTAGCAGTACCACTTTTTTAAGACAGTAATGCAGTACTAGTACCTGAGTAGTAGCAAAATTTTGTAAGAGTAATTCAGTATCAGTACCATTACTTGCAAAATTGCTCCAGTATATACTGCAGTACTAGTACCAGTAATGCAGCTCTGACCATGAGTCTTTCAAGGGTGGACATCACAAGGAGACACTAACACACACCTGAACTATTAATCAATTGCAACTGAAATACAACTGAAATACCATTTTAATTATCTTCTTTTTTTCATTTTATTTCAAAATGAAAAAGTAGGGATAATAGGGCTATTTCAGAAAAAAGTAGGGCAAAGTAGGGATCAAAAGAAAAAAGTAGGGAAAAGTAGGAAAAGTAGGAAAAGTAGGGACCAGTAGAAAGCCTGAATAGGGCACCACAGAGTTACCTCTTATAGTTTTAGAGTTATGTCCCAAACAAAGTTCAAAGTGTAAAATTAAACAAAGGGGAATAATTCAAAAATAAGATAAGGCAGGGTAACAGTTCTTGTGCACTGCACACCTACTCAATGAGATCTATCTATCTGCAAAGTTTCATGTTGATAACTCTTATAGTTTTAGAGTTTTGTCCCAAACAAAGTTCAAAGTGTAAAAATAAACAAAGTTCATTAATTCAAAAATTAGGCAAGGCAGAGATACAGTTCTTGTGCATTGCACATCTTCTCAATGAGATCTATCTACCTACAAAGTTTCATGTTGATACCTCTAATAGT